GGCTACGAGGCTCGGACGTGTCTCTGCGAGGTTCGGACACGCGGCGGCCACGAGGCGGCTTCTGATTGGCCAAGGCTTCGGTCAGAGGGAATTGCGACACACGTCTGGTCCAGATTCGGCCACGTCTTCGGTGACGCAGCAGCTTCGGCCTCAATGACGTGTCCGGTTACTGTTCATGCGAAAATTTCCGAATTTTGAGCCCTGGACTTCTAAAATCCATAACTTTCGCATACGAGCTCCGTTTTTGACGTTCTTTATATGAACGCGTAGCTAAAATCATGCTCTACAACTTTTGTTTAGACTTCATCGGCTAATTTTGACTTTAATTTTAATATTATTATTTTTAACAGATCGGGACTGGAAAATCCGTTAAAAATTCATAACTTCTTCATCCGACGTCCGTTTTCGTCAGTCTTTTTACCGTTGTACTACTATTAACGAGACCTTCAATTCTCGTTTAGGTTGTGTCGGCTAAATTTTGCTCGATCTTAAATTCGAGTATTTAGCTGTCTACTGCTAAGCTAAAACTTAGAAAAATCATAACTTCCTCATACAAAGTCAGATTTGGGCGTTCTTTCGAACTTCTCGGTTTAACGAATACTACGACTTTAGTTTAGATTGTTATGGCTAAAAAGCACTTTATCGTAATATTCACTTTTTATGCTTCCTGGTGCCGTGTCGGTTTTGTCACGAAACTTCGACAGGTCATAACTTCTTCGTTATAACTCGGATTTCGACATTCTTTATATCTCCGGAATCCTTGTTTCGGCCACTACAACTTTCTTAAAAGATATAGGATTTTTATAATATTTATTTTAAATGCTTATTTTTATTATTAATTAATTAAATCATAATAATTAAGCAAATAAACATATAATTCACATAATTCTTCTTTACTACTTCAAAATGAGTTACAAAGGTTGACCAAGACTATTACAACTTTATTAATGCTTTTAGCCTAGAAACACGGACGTTACAAATTATTTCTATGTGGTTTATATCATGTGTATATCATAGTATATCAGAGTTAGAACCGAAAGGTTCACAGAGTTAGGACCAGAGGGTCCACAGAGTTAGGACCCACCGACCCACAGAGTTATAGCCTCGAGTGGCTAGTAGGTGTTAGGTATGGTATTTTGGGGAACTCACTAAGATTTATGCTTACATTGTTATGTGTTATGTGTTTCAGGTACCAGTGATGATCGCGGGAAGGCGCCGACATGATTCGTACACACGCATGGATTTTTATGTATTTTGATCTTAGGAAATATTTTGTGAAACAAAGTTATGATACAATGAGATTTTGTTGATAACTATGTTTGGAAAAATGTGTTTAAAAATGTAAAAATTTGTTTTAAATTTTACAGTTTACAATTACCGACCACATAAATCATCATCATATCCTAATTGATGCACAATTCATGAAGAAAATCATGTGCACAATGTTAAAGTTGTCAATATTTATAAGAAAACTCATTTCAACACCTATTTGATTGTTAATTTTTGGTTTTAGTTGTTAGTCTATCTGTTTATGATATGTAGTTGGAAGTTGTTTGATTTCAGTTAAAATTTATAATATTTAACCTAAGAATTCATATTTCATAAAGCATATGTCGTGTGATTTTGTCTTGTTATTATAGTTAACTATCATCATCATCATCACCACCACCACAACCACCACCACCACCATCATCATCACCACCACCACCATCACAACAACCATCATTATCATCATCATCACCACCACCACCTGTTGGGTTTTGAGCAATCTAACACTTCCTAAGTGTGCATGCAACCCTAATAAACCTTGGATCTATGTTTGTCTAGATACATGCAAAATAATAATTTTCCAAGGTTTATAACCTATCTAACATGGCATGGGGAACATTTCAACATAAATGAGTTAGAAGAGATTACATACCTTTTGGTGAGTTTGGTTCTAAGGAGTTTGAGGGCCAAGCACCAATAGTGTGAATGCCTCAAATGGAATCACAAACACCACAAACTCTTGGAAAACTTTGAGAGAGTATACACCCTTGTATAAAATCGGCCACACACATGCACACACACACACACACACTAGTTCACTAGTTTTCTCTTAGGCTCCATTTCATGCTCCATAAGCATGCTTATATAGTGTGCATGGTTAGGGTGAAACCCTAATAACCCATGTCTTTTCCATTCCAAGGATCCATGGGTTAAAAGCTCCATGGATCATCCATGGACTTCCACATAAGCCTAGCCCATTAACAAATGAGTATTAGCCCACACTATATAAAACAAATAGCCCATAATCTAATTAGTCTTCCTTTTAATCTCTAAATTAATTCATAATTAATTTAAGACTAAAACTAATTAAATAACGTAACTTCATATTAATATATTATAACTCATAATATATTAATAAACATATGTGTATAACTCTCATAAAATTATCCATAATAGTTTGGATGAGATGCAACCCAAATGGACCATGCCGGTCGGGTCAAGTATATACCAAATAAGTTATGGACTTAGACACCTTATCCAACACCATCATCATCATAACCATTATCATAATCATCATCATCATCATCATCACCACCATCACCGCCACCACTACCATCATCATTACCATCATCACCATCACCATCACCATTACCATCACCATCACCATCATCACCACCACCACCACCACCACCACTATCACCACCATCATCATCACCACCACCACCACAACCACAACCACCACCATCATCATCATCATCACCACCACCACCACAACCACAACCACCACCATCATCATCATCATCACCACCACCACCACCTTCATCATCATCATTACAATCACCATCACCATCATCATCATCATCATCATCATCATCATATGTAACCTAATAGTTTGTATCTTATGAAATCGTTCGATTTCTCTTATTTTATTCGTATTTTATGTTAGAAAAGTGTTAGCAAATATCAATTATAACTTGGATATTTCAAGGATCGTGTGTGGAAATATTTTCAAATATCTGTAATTTCGACCATATTGCATAGAGTAACACGAAACCATATCTGAGACAATCTAATAAAACTTTATTTTTGGATTTTATGTAAAATCTAAAATTCAAAAACAAAAAGTCATTGCTTTGTTTGATGTTTTTCTTCGACAATATTTTTGCAGAGTAACGTTAAGTAAAAAATAAATGTATAGGTAGACCATCTACATTTTCATAGGTAATGATTTTTAAAATATTAATTTTTTTTTTGCTGCAAAAAAATTATCTTTTGCATGTCAATTGTTTTCACAAGTAATGACTTGATGAAAATCTTAATATATATATATATATATATATATATATATATATATATATATATAATATATATATATATATATATATATATATATATATATATATATATATATCTTTTTAGAAGTTATTGCTAAATATACACCCCATCTAATGTACAATTTTATTAAAAGTCAACCATTGATTAACTATTTATATCTATTTTTTTAAAAACAATTAATTTTCAACTAATAAAAACAATTAAATAACCTAGTAAGATGTTTATATGATAAAATTAAATGTTAGTGAATCTATTATTAAAAGATAAATACACATTGAATAATACTGTCAATGTTTTAATTTTATAAACTTATATAGAACATAGATATATGAGGATACGTGAATAATATTAATAAATAAGTGAGCATTGTTTTTTGTAAGGTTGTGTAAGATTGAGATTTGGAAGATCCTAATCGTTGATTATAAAATCTAATAAAATAAAACACAATTTTAATTTTTAATTTTTTATATATAAAAAATATTTCAAATATTTTTTTCCTTCAAAAGTTATAAAAACCTTAAAATATTAGTTATAAGTCACAAAGTAAAATGATAAATGGTAAATTGATAAATAGTAAAAAATAAGATGATAAAAAAATATTTTATTTAAAAAAAAAAAAAATCGCAGGGCGTTTAAAATCCAATTCATTTTTCATACCAAGGAGTATCCTTATTGAGCTTTACATATTTTTCAAAATTAATATAAATATCTGAATGAAAACGGGTCTGTCGTTTCTGTTCTCTTACGTATCCATCATCATCGCTGCCACAATTTCATGTTTCACTGTAATCAGACCTCCAATCTCGAAATTAATATATAACACCTTCTTCATAAATTTAAATTTTCAGTGCTTTTCATGGAATCCAGTTCCGTCGTTATTCGACAAGGTACGATTTGTTAATTGGGTCTGATTAGTTGAAATTTTGTTCGATTAGTCACGGATGATTCATCATATATCTTTTTCTTTTTTCACTTTGCTAACATTATCGATTCCATCAAGTGTGAAATTGCTATCGATTGCCGAATTATATATAGTTTGTCTTCCAATTTATGAGAATTTAAGGATTCAGGACCCTTACATTTTTAGGTTTTCCCCAATTTATGAGTTTTTCGCCTTCCTTTGTTGTTGAAAATTAAAACTCTTAGCCTTCATATAAATACATCGATATTGTGTTGTTCACAAACTTCTTTGCAATTTGGCAGAATTTTAGTTTTAAACCTTAATATTTATTTTCAAAGCTGCAACATTTAAGTTGGCACAACATGTTTCTAGTGAAATTCAAGATACCATAGCAATCTATAAGAATCGTGCATAAACTAAGGCATATAGCAATTTATAACAATCAAATCTTCCCTTTCATATCATCGTATGCTCTTGCATACTCTCTGGATGCTCAATGTCATGCATACACTATACACTCTCTAAATCATTCTCAATACATCACAATTTTGTTGCTGCAGATTAAAACTCTTAACATTTATTTAAACACAATTAACAAGAATCCTTAACTTTATCTTCAAAATTGCATTGTTTACGTTTACACAACAGTGTATGAAGATTACTTGTGGATCTTTTGTTATCAGGATGCAAGGTGGAGTGCAGATGACACTGATGCAGACATCATATCACTCCATAAATCTTTCATCAAGTTTGAAAATCAATAAAAGTGAGAGAAATGGAAGAATCACGGGGCCCATTACTTCAAGCTAATAATGTGACTGAATCTGTGAATGTGAATGGGGATAACTCAAGATTGAACCTTATTAATCGTGGGGGGAAGAAGCAGAACTTCATAGGGCCTGGTTTTCCAGGGTTAAAAAAACGAGGTCATGCTGTTGGAAACCGTTCTTGGATTAAAATAGAGCAAAATGGGAACTCAAAAGTTGTGGAATTGGATAAAGCAACTGTAATGAGACATTGTTGTTTACCAGCTAGAGATCTTCGGCTTTTGGATCCTGTTTTTATCTATCCTTCAACAATTTTAGGGCGTGAAAAGGCTATTGTTGTTAGCCTTGAGCAGATTAGATGTATAATTACAGCTGATGAGGTGTTTCTTATGAATTCACTTGATGGATCTGTGCTTCAGTATAAGTCTGAATTGTGTAAACGCCTTCAGGAAGTGAAATATCATTCGGGTAGGTTACTATATTCTGAAATCTTTTTAACACTTATGTTCAACTGTAAATTACCCCAATGTTGAAACCTATTTCAGTTCTGGTTGAAAGATTTAATGTCGGTTTTGGTCCTTGGAACCTTGAAACAAGGACCAAAATTTATAGGAAACCTTGAAATAAGGACTAAAACTGAAAAGGGTTTTAGTTTTGGACTAAACTTGATACATATTAGAAAGCACATGGGACCAATGTTGTAGTTTACTTTAACAACTAAATTTAATCTAAATTTTAGAGCAAATTACAAAAATGGTCCATGTGCTTTTGGATTTTTACCAATGCTTAGTCCAAATTGAAACTATTTTCAGTTTTGGTCCTTATTTTGAGGTTTCATATAGATATATGTCCATGCAACCTTGAAACAAAGACCAAAATTTATATGAAATAAGCACCAAAATCAATATTAAACCTTGAAATGAGGACTAAAATTGGAATCTTTTTTCAGGTTTGATTTTCATTTCAAGGTTTAAATCGATTTTAGTCCCTGTAACTTTGAAACAAGGACCAAAATCGATTTTGGTCCTTAAATGTTGCAGCTTTGAAAATAAATATTAAGGATTCTTTTATTAACCAAATCACCAAATGAATGCTTAAAGGTTTAAATCGATTTTGGTCCCTGTAACTTTGAAACAAGGACCAAAATTGATATGGAACTTTGAAATATGGACCAAAATCAATATGAAAACTTATTATAAGGACCAAAATTGAAAAGGTTTCAGCTCTTCACTAAACTTGGTACATATCAGAAAGCACAGGGACCATTTTTGTAATTTTCTGACCTTGCTGTCAGATGACCTACCATTCGAGTTTAGGGCACTTGAACTAGCTTTGGAGTTTACCTGCCTCACTCTTGATACTCAGGTTAGGTATATACATACACAAGCTTCATATATATATATATATATATATATATATATATATATATATATATATATATATATATATACATTTAATTTAATAGGTGAAAGAGTTGGAAATGGAAATTCATCCTGTTCTTGATGAATTGGCAAAATCAATAAGTACACTCAATCTTGAACGTGTTCGTAGATTCAAAGGCCACCTTCTTGCATTGACTCAACGTGTGCAAAAGGTACAAATTGTTTTCTCGTGTTAAAATTAAATTAAATAACAAATAGTTGTGAAAAAAGCTAAAAAAAAAAAAATTCAGGTTTGTGATGAAATAGAACATCTAATGAACGATGACGGAGATATGGCTGAAATGTATCTAACTGAAAAAAAACAAAGAAACTCATGCAATGATTTATACGATCAAGTTCAAGGTAATATTATTTCAACTTCAACAATGGGAACAGGGGGGCCCACACTGGGAATGGGAATGGTGTCAAAATCTGCCCCTGTTTCTCCTGTGGGGTCCGCAAGTGCAAGTGGCTCAATTAAATTACAAAGGGCTTTTAGTAACATAAGCTCGCATAATAAACATGGAAGCTTGTTGAGTTCATCTGTAACTGGTGAAACTGAAAACATTGATCAACTTGAGATGTTGCTGGAAGCTTACTTTGTTGGAATCGACAACACTCTAAACAAGTTGCTTTCTGTAAGTTAATATCAACATACTAATTACTATATTGCCCCTTGCTGATCACCTCTAACATTTTTCATATTTTCTCAACTGTAAATTACATCTACTACCATGACTTTTATGAATAAAAAAATAAAACAGATGGACATGTACCTTGAGATATAACATCATTGAAATTATTTAATTGTAGCTCAAGGAATATATCGATGACACTGAAGATCTCATCAACATTAAGCTTGTAAGCAACCATGAACTCATCTCTCTTTCATGATTATTGTTTCTAATGGAAGTTTATGTTATAATTAAATAGGGAAATGTTCAAAACAAGCTGATTAAATTCGAGCTGCTTTTAACAGCTGCTACATTTTTAGCAACAGTGTTTGCAGTTGTGACAGCTGTATTTGGAATGAATTTTGAAGACGATGTTTTCAACGAGCCGAATAGATTCAATTGGGTTGTTTCCATCAGTGCAAGTTTATGTGGAGTTTTGTACATTTGTTTCTTGTTTTATTTCAAACATAAGAAAGTTTTCCCTCTCTAGATTTTCATTTCTTCTTTTTTATATAAAAATAAACAATTCCCAATACCCCTTTCGTTTTGTATTTGTACATATGACATATGGTTGTACTTTATGGTCTTTTTCTTTAAGGGGTTGATGAAAAAGATTCGATTCTGGTGTGGTCAAAGTCCCAGAAAGAGTTTTCTTCTTGTGAGCATGGTGAATGTGAACAAGGGTTATTTTGGGTATTTTGGCTCTTGAGAAGTGACTCGAGTTCCTTGATACGTGCTTGGAGGTTGGATTCGATTAATTGGTGGAGGCGTAATTGTAAGTCTATTGGTGAAACTGCGTAGTTTGGAGTGAAAGTGTGGTTGTTGTTGTTGTTGTTGGTGGTGGTGGTGGTGCTTTCACTTTTGCTACTTTTTCCAGTTTTGCCCCTGGGGTCTGATTCCGATTGGCTATCGAGTTGCCAGGTGATTGTATCTAGGTTCAGATCTCCTCTAGCCATGTCTGCTTCAAAGTCTGAATCAATCTGTGAAATGTTAATCTTTTTTAGTTGATCAACTTAATGAGAAAAAGTATTGTTTTCTTTTGACTTAGGTACTAGCTAAAAAACTAGCTGATAGCTGGAAAGCTAGTTGTTAAATGAAAAGCTAGCAGATAGCTGAAAAACTAGTTGATTATAAATGTCGTTTGGTAAACGGATTGAAAAGCTAGCTGAAAAATATAAAATGAGATAAAAAAACATTTAAAAGAATGTGTTGTTATAACTAATTAAAGTGTATATTTGAAATTTTTTTAAAAAGCTCATAGAAAGTTAGCTAAGTAGTTTTTTTAAAAAGCTAATAAAATATTTTTTGGCTTGCCAAACATAACAATTAAAAAAAAAACTTGAAAAATAAGTTAGTTTATCAGCCAATTATATTAAAAGGGACATGGCTTAGTCTTGTAAATTATATATGAATGGTTTTATTTTTTATTTATTATTATTTTTTTAATACAGAAATAACAACTTAATAAATTGATACTTTTCTCATTAAGTCTTATTGGACATATAAAATTCCAACTTTTTACAGAATGTTTCTATTTTACTTGATGCAAAAAAGAAGTATTTCCAATTTTTTACATATTTGTCGGATCAAATTCTTCAAATATTTTTTAAACATCATTTATTTAGATAACACTTTAAGGAAAAATAGAGTCTTAGTAAGCTTACCTCCACAACATTAGACAATCTTTGCATTGTGCAACTCTTCATATTTTCTTCCAACCTCTCAAGCTCAGCCTCAAGTTCTGCCTCGATGTCACTTGTTAACTCAAACTTTTCCCTTTTTGGACTATCAATTGCAGTTCCATCTGGCTCGATTTCAAGCTTCTTTGTGGTAAATCCATCTTTTATTTCAAGTTGAGAGTGTAAATCTTTAACCATATTCTCAGCTTGTTCTAGCAAATTATTTAGATGCTCGATTTCTTTTTGATTAGTAAAAGTACCCGATAGTATCCCCATTGAAATACCAACAAACAACAACACCATGTCAAAGTTTTCGTTTTGTCTTCTTGGAAGCTTCATTGATCCAATTGGTTGTTCCAAGAATGGTGAGTCGTCTATACATGCACCATTGCCATTTTCTTTTTCTTCCATCAACACGACCTTATGATCTTTTAAATCTTTGTTGTTACCAGTTACCACTAAGGGCCGTAGACTCGTGAATGGTTTTCTGTTCATGTTCTTGGTTTTGAATTTGTGTAAACGATTGTTAGAAGATGTGTCTAAGTACTCTTGTTTTCCGTTGATTTCATTTGTGTGATCTTGATCTACTCGTTTCTCGATAAAGGTTGAAGTCGAACCTGAAACGTGATCAACATCTCTGTCTAACAAGCATCTTTTTGCTAACTTTGGCAATGGGAAAACTGAGTCAGGTATTTTGTCGAACACTTGGCGTGCGTCTTGTTGCAGGCGTGGCGATGGCAGAGGTTGTGACTGCTTTGATGAGCCATCTTTCTCACCTGATAAGTTCTGCCAATGCTTGGCCACGTAACCGGCACCGGTAGCTGCTGCAACCACCCAGAATTCCATGATCGATCTTTTATGTAACGCTGGCAGGAGGACATGAACGTGAACTTTGAACTTTTGAAGAGAGCTTAAAAGTTCTGATTTTTAGGCTTGATACTGTTTATTGAAAGGTTACCCACTTCGGAAGAAGATGATTGCTGCAAAACCCTTGAAGGAATTTGAGAGATGTTTTGTGTGCTTTAACAAATGGAGACGTGAATTTGTAGTTTGAAAGATTGAAAACAAAAGAAGAAAACTGTAGACTCTGTGATCATTGTGTTTGAATATGTTTTGTTTATATAGTCACTTTCATTATTTAATTGCAATGTTCCAAACCACATGATTGTGGATTGGAATAATAAGGTCCTCAATTAATCCTTTCCATTTTTAGCCAAGTGTCTTTAAATAATCCATGTGATAACCTCAAAAAATAAATGATGGAATTGAATCACTAAAAAATAAAATAGACATCACATAGAATCTAACCATATAATTAAATAAACAATGTAATGAAATTGATTGATACATTTCATTGTTATATAATGTATTGGACACTAATAAATCATTTAGACATATTGTTTGTTATTAATAAATCGAAGATTAAATAAGGTAAACTGATAAATAAAGGAAAAAATGTTATTTTATAATAATAAATTTTAATTAAATAAATATATATCCTTAAATAAATTGTATAATGGATATAAACATAATTCAATTTTTTATAATACATGTTATACATGTTTTGCAAATAATTTAAAAAAAAGAAGTCATCTACGATCTAAAAAGAATCCACTTCGGATTTAAATGAGCCAAACTTGTTACGTCTTTTGTCATTGCAAGTAAAACAACCTCAAATTTGGTAAACATGTCACATTAAATAACTAAAAAAAATGTTACACGCATCGGTAAAATAATAGTCCATCTTGCATATTTTTATAGAATAAAACCTTTTGTTATCCATTTATCATTAATGTATTCTTGAACTCAATATAAAATATAGTTGAGATTTCATTTATAACAATATCATGTTGAATATATTTTCTAAAATGCATAGATCAACATCATGACAACCAAGCACGACTCCACCATACATGGATTTATTATAATCCTAACATCAAATACCTACATCAAGATACACTCACCCCTATACTATCAACCATAAACACATCACCCCCTACACTTTTAATTTCACACAAATACCATTTGCACACATTAACTTTCCAAAAATACCCCAAATGGTGTACACATGCAATCTTCAAGATGCTAAGGTTGTACTTGGACAACTATCGATTGTACATGCCAATATATCTCTATAATCACGGGAAATCATGAATGAATCATACACTTGTCCATCTCTACTTTTCTTGTATTCGAACAAAAGGGTAGAATGGTCATATGCAGTAAGTTTTAAAAACCCGTAATCGTAATCTCTATAGATACTCCAAGTGGTTTTAAATGGAGCAAACGGGGTAAGGCTCGCCCCTCCACCACCCGCCACCACATGTATTGTCCCATTTAAGCCGCCTTTGTAATGCTCCTTCTCATCACTCATGCAAGTATTCTAAATCAACAAGTTTATAGAAAAAGTCAAGAGTCAGATTCAGACTGTTTGATATGTTTCTATCAGGGTTTGGTAAGAACTTGGATCTGACTTAGTCAGTCAGGCTTTGACTCAATCAGCAACTATCAAACAGAGTCTTAAAAGATAATAAATTTGTTCTTATTTACTTTTTCCTCTCATTTCCCTAAGTGTGCACTCATTTTTCTTAAGTATTGTTTAAAATTTTATAAAGATACCTCATAAATGGGACATGTTCTTTCGTAATTATGCGCATGTCCATAAATAGCTATATCAACTTTATATTTTTGCCAAAGCTTTTGAAGGCTATCTCTTCCCATTGGTTCTCCAAATGAACCTTCAACTGCATAAACTAAAGAAGAAGAATATCCCAATACACGATGTGCAATGAAAATCAACCATGGTTGCTTTTGTCGATCAACAGATGAAAAACAATTTTTTATAAAATTATATTGTTCGCTTCCTTCTCTCCAATCATGTTCTGAGTCAGCAATGCAAAACCTAAACATGCCATAGTCTGTAGAATACCTACATGGTCAAAAGTCAAAGTTGAAAAGTCAAAGTCAGCAATACAACGCTTGATGCATAATGTACAATACGACATACCAGAACTTATCTTTATTTTCAGAAGGAACATGAAACATGGTTTGTGCAACAACACCACATTCTCCCCCTGAATCGTTGTTTTCATAGAAGGATCCTGAGTTGGGCCAATCACGTTCATGATTGCCACTATGATATTATATAAACATAAATAATTTGTTATAAAAAGTGATATTAAGTAAACCCTGTGAAAATATAAGAGGGAAAGTTTGAATCTTGAGGTCTACCATTCATAATTTTCAACTTTTTATGAATATGAACTCTTTCAAATTTCAAGAAACTTGTAGGACAAAACATTATATTTTATGGTTTAACTCTCAAACTTCAATTTTTCCAACCATTTTAACATGTCAAAATGGTTAATTTGAATTGTTTGAAGCTTATGTGGTTTGTTATGCAAGATAAAAAATGGGAGGGAAGGTTGACTTTTGAGGTCAAGCATGTTAGTTTTAAACTTCTTAAAATGACAAAAATTCTTAAAGATTCTAGAAAATTTTGGTACCCACATAAACATTTCATAGAATGACAACAATAAAAACCATAAAAGAAGTAAATTTTTCAAAAAAGAATTTAAATCTTGAAAGTTGAAAGTGATAAGTTTGACTTCAAAGTAAGTAAGAAAAAAAGGAATAGAATAGTACCTAGCAATCATATAAGGTTTAGATGAGGCAATTGGTTCTATTTGAGAAGTGAATTGATCCCATTGTGAAAGATATCCATTTGCATAACAAATATCTCCAATGTGAAAAACTATATCTATATTTTCCAAGTCATCAATCAGTTGCTTTGTAGTGTTAAGGGACCCACGTTGGAAATTATTGTATTCATTAGATCCATCAACCTCATCCTGCATCATACTTTTGACATAAAAAAAACTACCCAACTATTTATACCAATGTCATTGAAAATCAAAATAAAAAAAAAAAGTCCGAAACCAAATAAATAATAATAATAATAATAATAAAGTTGAAACCTTTCCCATATCACCAAAAATAATAACACGTTGTACAGAATCTTGACCAGGATATGGAGATGATTTAAACTCATACATCTTGCTCCAAATGATTGTACTATTCAATAATTTGTGCCCTAGTTTGTATGTATACCTACATAAACATAATCAAGATTTATTATTTTTATTACACAATTAAAAAGTATAATCCAATAATAAATAAAATCTAGTTTTTAATTATTGTAAACATACACCATATTGGGCCATAATTCTTTCAAGAAACTTGTATGGATATATCCAGGATCACGCCATCCCACAGTTCTTGCTGGTGGACCTTCGAATAATCAGCCGCATACACGCATCAAAAAATAAAATAAATAAAAAAATAATTATATATACTCAAATAATGATATAAAGGTAAATCTTTTACTATATACCACACATGCTACGTTGGTCAAAGGTCAAAGTTCCAGCAGAAGAAAGCCTCTGTTCTTCACCTTTTTGACCCCATTTAACAAAAGGCTTTGCTTCATCAATTCCATATCCACTTGTCCACGTTACACTCATCTACAAAATTATATTCCATGAATACGTATTTTTTGAGTTGCATGTATAGAAGTGTGTATGTGTATATATATATATATTTAATGAATAAAAAAGTAGAAAAAAAAAAGACAGATGTCAAACTCACTTCATCCCACATCTTTCCATGAGCTAATCGTGGGTAATTTGGTGCATTTGGGTTCACGAAAGTAACTGTGTTTGAAACTGCAACCAGATTCGGCTGAAAACATAGAGTCAACGTTTGGTCAATGCAAAATGGGCAACAAGATGTAACCTTGAAAAGGTGAAGAAAAAAGAAAGAATTTACGGTTGATAATCCGCCTGTGAATAACACAAAGGAGAAATCGGATCTTTGGTTGATTAATTGAAGATTTAATGTTGATTCTCCTGTATCTTTGTAATTAGGATTGCTGTAGTTTGCGTATAAAAACTGCAAAATGGATTCATAATCAGCAGACAATTGTAAACGAATTATGGTTTGCTGATTATTTCGAGTCAAAATAATTAAATTTGGATAATAATGTAACGAGTTGTTGCTAGATAACAAATTATTGAGATATATGTAAAATTTCCTAACTATCCCTATCTTTTAGCAACTGATTAATCATTTTGAAAATGCACATCCAAAAGGTATCTAGGACTCGTGTCATAAATAAAAGAACAAACCTTAATAGGTGCAGTGCACAAATATGGAGGGCTGACTCTTGAGTTTTCAGGGAGGCAGGTTGAATCGCTGAAAACAATAGAGTGTCAGGTCTATTTTTTATCCCATGTCATAAATAAAAGAACAAACCTTAATGATAAGAGAACCTGAAATTGGCAGGGGAGAAAACTCCAATCCAATCATCGTTTGATGGGTTCAAATTGCTGATGTGCACATTCACCCATTCAGAATTTTGGCCCTAGAAAAACAAAATAATCCAATTTTGACAACGATTCCACTTTTCGACATGAAAATCAGTATGAAAAGCAATCTGCTAGATCACTATAATCTCAGCCACACCTTTGATCCTAGAATGGCAGGAGAAGCTTTCACATCGGCAGCATCAGTTAGAGCAAATGTGACTTGATGTATTCCAATTTTCGCAAAAGAGTGATCTCCATGTGATATCACTTTTTCTGAGCTCAATAGAACCCAAAACCCTACTACCAAAGTGAACATCACAACTCGAATCATCACTTTCTGTTCTTGAAATCGAATGAACAAGTATATTAATCAGCAATTTGCAGAGGCATAGAAACACTAACAGTTCAAATCAAATGGATTAACTAATTGGGTAGGGTAAAGAGTGAAAAGAAAATGAAAGTAAGACGATAGTATAGAAAAACAATCAGAGAGATAAATACCTTGATAATAGTAGCACATAAAACGTTGCTTGCAACCTGAATTTTATCCGTTTAATGGCAGTTGCTGCAGATTGATTGATTCATTTTCGGTAAGTGTTATGGAGAAGAATTATTTGGTATATACTTTTATGCCTCTTTTCTGGTTGGAATTTTGGCGAAGGTTTACCTCGTTATTTTATTATTATTATTATTATTATTATTATTATTATTATTATTATTATTACTATGTAAAGGTGTTATAATAAGTGTTTTAATATCAAATCATCCAAATTTTCATTTTTATTAATTGGATGTTAAAAGATATGATTGGTAAACAAATTGAGAAAAAACAAAATAGACTTGGCATGAAAGATTGTAGATGTGTTTTGTCCCTAGTTGAAGAAATCTTGAATCCTTGGAAGATGTACTTAAAATTTTAGAAATTTTGTAAAATACGTCAATTTTATATAATATTAGGTTATATGGCATATTCGTTACACCCTGATATCAATTGTAATCTTGTATAGTATTTTGTGTGTGTTTTGCTGTCATTTCATTAGAAGTATTATGAGCTATTCAGTACAAATTGTTCATACAGATACAAATGAAATCCATTGTATAGATTATACACACAAATAGGCCGACTATTACCATATTATATAATATGATACAAACAAAGATTACCTTGCTTATTTTGTATGGAATATGGATTCCATGCTCGTGTAAGTGTTTCATTATGTGTCATTTTTTAAAGTACTCCAAAGTCCGCTCCATTTATTTATTTGTTGAGCAAATATTGTTTTTCATCTTGTGAATATGCGTATGATTTGAAAAAAATATATCTTAATCAACATGTATCCCATGAGCAAAGTAATACCATACATCTATTGATTTTCATCCGCTACACAACGGAAACACATGTGTTTGAACAATTGCCCCACACCATTACAATTAATGTTTCCAAACATTCTTGAGAAACCGTGTGTTGCTTTATGTTTATGAGAATAAAAGATTGAAAATTTATAAATACTTGGGTGTTTACAAGGTTAGTTTTTAAAAGAACACCAAAAAATTTATAAAAAAAAATACATTTATTTATTGCCAATGGTGAAAATTTGAAAAATATGGGTGTGACACCATGTGGCAAAGGCCACGCCCCTCCACCTCAGATTAGAATCACGCCCATGACATGTTATACTAAGGAGATAGTTACAAATATGATACATATTATTGGTTTTGCAACATCAATTTTGGCCCAAAAAAAAAAACAAAAAACTTGATGATACATCATGTATTTAGACCAGCCCAATTTTTAAAAGCAATAAGAGCTTCCATTTTCTTAACACTTCTTTTTCTCAATTTCGACACTTTAAGCTTCTTATGAGTCTCCATAAACGCTTGTTTATACCTCCATTTATCCACAAATATCTTCATCTCTTGAGACCTCTCCACAACTTCCATCACAGCATCAAAGAACCCCCCTTTCACCAACCCATACAACAACCCATCAACCAAACCATGATCCAATTTCAAACCTTTATCACCTCTTTTCTTAACATCATTCCACATCATCAAAACACTAAAATAATTTCCCGCATTCATATACCCATTCACCAAAGAAACATACGTTTGCTCACTAGGTTCAAATTGAAGAAAAATCATCCTCCTAAGTGTTCTCCTTGCATCCTCTAAACGACCCGCTTTACAAAACGCATGGATAATCGAATTCCAATCGTGGGTCCCGATTTTGACCCGTGGGTCATCAACTACTTCATCTAAGAAAGCTGCCATAAGTTCGGGTCTATGGTTTTCTGTTAATCCTGTCATTATTGTTAAATAACTACCTGTTAATTCATGAATTCTTGCTTCCCTCATGTCTCTAAAAAGTGAAAATGCTGACTCAAAATCTTGACTAGACATACACGCATCTATTAAAGCATCAAAGATATTAACATCGAGCTCTAGCCCTAAACTACACATTTCAGATACCATTTGTGAAGCTTCTGCTGTTCTTTGTTCTTTAGTGTAAGCTTTCAAGATTGACACGTAAACTCCAAGCCCTATTGAACCTCCTAATATATTCATTTCATCAAGAATGTTATGTGCTTTTTCTAATAAACCAAGATTATTAACACATGCGTTTATGATACCATATCCAATGGAGTTTTCAACTGTTATAGATGTAGATTCTAACTTTTGAGTTTCAAGTATCAGTCTTGCTAAATCTTTGATGCTTCCATGGTCAAGATATCCTTTTACTATTTTGAGATAAGTTTCTTCAAGAAAGTTTAGACCTTTTTGATCTGATTCTTTTAAACTTTGCAAGATAGTGGTGGAAACAGATTTTAGATAGCCTGATTTTACATATCCGCTTATCAGATTGCTAATAAACATGGTTTTATTGGGAAAATTGAACCTAGATACCAAGTCTTGTAGTTCGATTATCTTGTTCTCGAGTCCTTTTGTTGCGTATAGATAAGCAAGGTAGCTAAAAGTGGTCTCATCTGGGTGAACACCTAACAGAGACATTATGTCGAGCACCTTGTGGGCGTCAGAAACTGATTCAAGTTCATGGCAACAGCCCTCCAAAGCAGCGTTACAAGCAGACAAATCGGGTTTCAAAGATTCTAACTTTTCCTCCCTTGCTATCCTACAGTTCTCATTGAAGACGTCGAAAAAGTCACAAAATCTACCATTTTTCTTACTAATCTCCACAATCGTATCTCCCCAGATGCCAAAAGGAATGAAGTACCTGTTCTTGAGCATATACTTGACCAATGCAAAAGCAGGGGCACCATTTGTATCCTTGATTGAAATTAAGAAAGTCTTGACTGATTTAGGGTCTAATACATCTGGGTTTGTCTCTAACACGAACATCAAAGTAGCAAACGCCCTTTTGAGATTGCGAGTGCCGTTCCCGGCCGAACACAAACGAGTAATCAGTGAGTTAATGAGAGGCTTACTTGGTAATAATGAAGATGACGATGAAATAGATTTGAAACACTTCCAAGCTTCGTCTGTGTTATTTTCCTGGAGAGACAGTTGGAGAGTGGATTCGAGATTGGGGTTAAGTTGGTTATCTATGGATGAAGATTTTGGGGTTTGATTAGTAGGTTGATTGGATTGGGGTTTTCTTACAGCAAAGATTGAGGGCTGGAGGAAGGAATAAACGGAAGGAGGAGATGGGGTTTCTGGTTCAGAAGAGAAGTATCGGAACAAAGAGAAAACTCTTCTTCTCCACATCGTCGTCCTCGAAGACGAAAGAGATTCAGGTGCAAGCATAGAAGCACACATATGTATTCTCAATATCATAATGTATAATATAATCAGACTCGATTCTAAAAGCAAAAAGCTGGAATAGCTCAGTTGGTTAGAGCGTGTGGCTGTTAACCACAAGGTCGGAGGTTCAAGCCCTCCTTCTAGCGGTAACTTTTTCCACAAAAAAATTGGGGTTAAAGATGCGTTTAACTAAACTATATTTCATAAATTAAGATATCAAATAGTTAATGATCTTATACGAGTTTCAAAAGATAAAATGTTTTTTTTAAATGTATTTACTGTTAAAATCTTTTGATTTTGATTTTGATACGTTGATAATAATGAAATTTTGGCAAGAATGGTTCATGTGATACATACAAAGCAGGTACTATGTGATACATACAAAGCAGGTTGAGGGTCTAGTGATCAACACCTCGGTTAAGGCTTGTCATTCCTTAAGAAACTATAACTTATCCATATTTATTTGGACTATATAGCTTGGAGTAAACGCATCGTTAAAATAAATATTGTTATAGTTATCATTGCAATTATCTATTATTCCGTTATACATATAAAACAAAATATGGTTATTAGAATAGCAAATATCACCAAACAAACTATAATTGATTTAGTGAGCAACATTACCCCTCGATGCTCAGTGATTGATGTACAAAATTTAATAACATGAGGTTCATGACAATTGACCTTATATAATGGTTTGGAGACGAGTTCGACTTGGACTGCTCAATAACGTAGTTTACCATTTTTCTAAAAATCAAGTTATAACAATTAAAATGGGTGTTTGGGATTGAGTTTTGATTCTTTTTAAATGTTTACAAGCTTATACTATAACAAAATAGAACTTTTAAAATGTATTTAGATTAACTTATGTGGTGATAAAAGAGTACAAATGATTAACATTATTCAAAGTGTTTGGCAAAAAAATGTTTAAATATGTAAAATAATCAAAAAAAGGACACACTTTTATATTTTGGCCTATTTGTTTTTTTAACATATAATGTCTTTAATCATCTTTAATAGTCTTTGAAGATTCTTATAATAAAAATCTCCAAATAATGTTTATTGATAAAAAAAATCACGATTTCGTAAAATATGAACAATTTCATAGTATGTGTAACACCCATAAAAATCATGTCAAATTTAAACATTTTTAAAACATTTCGAAACACATGGTTATTACAAAACTTGTTTTTCAAACTAGAATGTTGTCAAAGTATCCCATAATCAAATCATAAAATCATAAAAAGGTGAGGAGCGGTACGGTCACGCCTTCGCCTTCCCGCGATCGTCAGAAGTAGCTGAAACCATAATCAATAAATGTAAGCTCGAAGGCTTAGTGAGATACCCCCAAAATACCAACGCCATGCAGATATAACCACATCATATAAACATACAAGCAAGCATATACAACATGCATAGTGAGCCACTAGTCTGACTGGACCGACTCCCGGTCCTCAGTCTATCTGTATCGCTCTCCGAGCCCTCGGCACGTCTGGACCGCCCTCCTCGGGGTCTTCAGCCTACCCGAACCACTCGCTGGACCTTCGGTCTGACTAGATTTGCCCGCCCCGGGCCTACAGTCAACCAGGTCCACCTAGGGTGTCTTGGCCTACTGCACACAACAGGACCTGCCTCAACCCTTTCCTCAAACCAATAAACATGTGCACATAAATATCATACGCTAGCATTCATAACAGTCAAACCGATCTAACATATCAAATTGCATAACAACATCATATAACCAGGATACCGATCTAACCGAAATCTAACATAGCAACCATCCTAAGCCAGGATGAAATCTAGCATATCAATACCATAGCAACCATCCTAAACCGGGATGTAAATCATAAAGGGTCGGCCTTGGTGCCGTAGACCCTGTTGATATAGTGAGGATAACTCACC